AAACAAAAATCAACAGTTAATATTTTCAGAAAAACAATGATATTGACTGTAACAATAGTGAAATGATGAGAATACTTACAGCCTATATTTATTATTTAAGACAAAACGAAAATCAACAGTTAATATGTTTTCAAAAACAATGATATTAATAGTGAAATGATGAGAAAGAATACTTACAGTCTATATTTATTATTTAAAATAAAATGAAAGTCAACAGTTAATATGTCTTCAAAACTATGATATTGACTGTAACAATAGTGAAATGATGAGAATACTTACAACCTATATTTATTATTTAAAATAAAATGAAAATCAACAGTTAATATGTTTTCAAAACTATGATATTGACTGTAACAATAGTGAAATGATGAGAATACTTACACCCTATATTTATTACATAAAATAAAGTGAAAATCAACAGTTAATAAACAATGATATTGACTGTGATAATAGTGAAATGATAAAAATACCCACACACTATTTATTATTTAAAATAAAATGAAAGTCAACAGTTAATATGTTTTCAAAAACAATGATATTGACTGTAACTAGTGAAATGATGAGAATACTTACAGCCTATATTTATTATTTAAGGTAAAATGAAAATCAACAGTTAATATATTTTCAAAAACAAATGATTTTAGTAGTGAAATGATGAAAATACTTACAGACTATATTATTATTTAAAATAAAATGAAAAATCAACAGTTAATATGATTTCAAAAAAAAATGATATTAGTAGTGAAATGGTGAGAATACTTACCATCTACCCATTATTTAAAATAAAACAAAAATCAACAGTTAATAAATATGTTTTCAAAACTATGATGTTGACTGTAACAATAGTGAAATGATGAGAATACTTACATCCTATATTTATTATTTAAAATAAAATGAAAATCAACAGTTAATATGTTTTCAAAACAATGATATTAATAGTGAAATGATGAATACTTACAACCTATGTTTATTATTTAAGACAAAATGAAAATCAACAGTTAATATTTTTTCAAAAACAATGATATTAGTAATGAAATGATAAAAACACTCACACACTATTTATTATTTAAGATAAAACAAAAAACAACAGTTAATATTTTCAAAAGAACAATGATATTGACTGTGACAATAGTGAAATGATGAGAATACTTACAGACTATATTTATTATTTAAGATAAAACAAAAATCAACAGTTAATATTTTCAGAAAAACAATGATATTGACTGTAACAATAGTGAAATGATGAGAATACTTGCAGCCTATATTTATTATTTAAGATAAAACAAAAATCAACAGTTAATATTTTCAGAAAAACAATGATATTGACTGTAACAATAGTGAAATGATGAGAATACTTACAGCCTATATTTATTATTTAAAATAAAATGAAAATCAACAGTTAATATGTTTTCAAAACTATGATATTAGTAGTGAAATGATAAAAACACTCACACACTATTTATCATTTAAGATAAAAAGAAAATCAAGAGTTAATATTTTCAAAAAAACAATGATATTGACTGTAACAATAGTGAAATGATGAGATTACTTACACACTAATATTTATTATTTAAGATAAAACGAAAATTAATAGTTAATATTTTCAGAAAAACAATGATATTGACTGTAACAATAGTGAATTGATGAGAAAGAATACTTACAGTCTATATTTATTATTTA